CTGTTCACCCATACGACAGCCACTCATGACAGGGAGATCTGAAGCACTTCAGGGTTCTTATCTGTTCATTTAGAACATCCGTATGTGTTGGGGGTTACAAGTCAAAACACTTCAGTATTTACAGGGTTAATGATGTTTGTTAAGTCACATGTTTGTTTGTAACCAATCTGTCTAGACAATAGAATGGAGCTAACTTGCTAGTATGATTGGAAACCAATGTGTCAAGTATTTAGCACATTGGCTTCTCCTCCCGTTCTTTGTTCTGACTGAGAAGGAGACGCCATTCTCTTCCCGTTTTACCTTTAGCTGTAAGGATGTAGCTATATTAGGTCTTTGTTATTTTCATATCCTGTGTACCTTTTTCCCATGTTAGGTTTATAGTAAACCTTTATATTTTAATACACACCATGGACTCAGTCTCTTAATACTCTGCTGACTTACTTAAAAGAATCCCAACAAAGGTTATGGGCACCCAGCTCGTTCTTTTCTGTGCAGAGCTAACCATGTATGTATGAGTTTACTTAGAAACTTTTAAGAATAGACAGACTATTTTTAAAAACATTTTCTGGATTAAGTGGGAGCAGAGAAAAGTTTGTTCCTCTTTCTAGAGCTTGTCTAGCCTTGTTGCAGGCAGGACAGAAGGGGAGAGAAGATTTGTTTTCTGCTGCTCGATGTGAAGGATCCCTGGGGCTGAATCGTGCCACTGGAAGAAGGAGATCAAAAGGAAGTTTGTTTAACTCCATGCTGACCAGACCTCCTGTCGCCGCTTTGCATCTGTCGGAAGGATCGGTAACATACAGAACCAAATATGGCTGTTTCAAAGAATCTTTCTTTCTTCAATACTCCACCTTTATCTAAAACAAATTACAACTGGTGGAAGGGATCAATTGAGTGTGCTCTAGAATCTCAATCTGCTCTGCATGTACTCACTAATGATGCTCCTGCAGATGATCCACAAAAAGAAAAATTTAAAGAAAAAGATGGTTTTGCAAAATCTTTAATCCTTGGGAGTGTTATTGCCAGTGACAATCAAAAGCTTTTAACGTGCAAAACTGCAAAAGGAATGATAGACCAACTAGATGAAAATTACAATGGGAAAACGAGAGCTAACAATCTCTTTCTCTTTCAACATCTGATTAATGCAAAGATGAGAGATGGAGACTCACTAATTGCACATTTGAACAACATTATGGATACTTTCAATGACCTAAAGGCAATACAAAGCCCACCAACTGATGATACTGTTATTGCTGTAATTTTGGGCTCATTAACAAAAGACTATGCTCATGAAGTTGCGTTCTTGAAGGGAGTAGAGAAATTAACCATTGATTATGCAATTTCTTATTTGGAAGCTGAGGGGAATAGAAGAGAAATGTTCCAGCTCCCTGATAGCATGTCAGTTCTTAGAGTGAAGCCTACTTATCAAAGAGGAAATGTAAAGAAAGATGTTAAATGTTTTATATGTGCAAAAACTGGTCATCTCGCCAAACAAGGCCGGTTTAAACCAGCGCAAGATGAAAGAGACCGCACCACGTGGACTCCCACTGAAATACAAGCCTCTAGGGGGCGTGGCAGCGGAAGGCCAGATGCTAGCAGCAAGCAGAATGCGAAAAGGCCTGTATTCTTTCTTAATAAAACACAGCCAGATGCTGTAGATGTAAACCAGAGTGGAAATGTGCATGCATTGTCTATTAATGGAAGAGAATCTGATGCTAAAGCTTCTCTGTTGAATGGTTTGTTGATTTGGATAGAGAGAAAAAGCCTAATTTGCAACAAGCTAATGGTCAAGAATTAGCTGTGGAAGGAACTGGAACTGTTGTGCTGAACATTTTGAATACATGTGGTGAAATTGAGGAAGTTATACTCAAAGATTGCATTTTTGTTCCTGAGGCCACTATCTGCCTCATATCCACTATGAGGATCATAGCAACTGGTTTTAAAATTAATCTTGATCAGGGCCAAGGCAAAATTTGGCATAAAGATGGTGTTGAGCGAACAAAATCATCTGCATGTGATCACAAGGACTGTTTCTATGCATGGCATGTAAAGTTTGCTCATAGGAATGTGCAAAGTATACAAAAGCTGTTGAAGGACTGTAATATCAATGCTGTTGATTGTAATGCTATGCAAAATGGTTGTGAAACCTGCTTTAAAGCAAAAGGCACAGCTCCTAGCTACAAGGGCAAATCTCCTAAACAAAATACAAAGTTTCTAGA